ACAATACAATTACATTAAGCACATTCACATTGTGCTATAATCATCATCACCACTCATGTTTAAACTTTTTCATCTTCCCAAATTGAAATTTCATACCCACTAAACAGTAACTCCTCAATTCTCCCATCCCATAGTCCCTGGCAACCATGATTCTATTTTCTGTCTCTATGAATTTGACTATTTTAGGAACCTCATACAAGTGGCATCATATAGTATTTCTATGTCTGTGTCTGACTTATTTCACTTAGCATAATGCCTTCAAGTTTTATCCATGTTGTAGCATGTAAAATTTTTTTAAAGACTAAATAATATTCCATTGTTTTGTTCATCCTTTCATCTGTTAATAGACAGATAAATTGTACATTTGAGATTTTTCTCCTTCCCACTGTGGACGAAAGGGGCCACATGCTGACCTGACAAGCTCAGGGAAGGCCTGCATGGCGGTCTTGCAGACTCGGAGACCTAGGGTAACCACGAAGGATGGTCTGAAATTAAACTTTGACTAAAAGCAGTTATGGTGGGCAGTTACGTCCTGGGCCAGTATCTTCACTGACAAGGTCAACCTTTACCTTAACTGAGCCTGTCTTTTTGCATCTATGAATACATATCCTTGAAATGTCTGGGTGACTTGTGACTTCCCTTTATCTGGAGCCCCTGGGGCACAACCAGGTGTGCTGGGCCCCAGGACAGATACCACAAATTCCTTCATCATCATGTTAATTGTTCCTGCAACCACCTAAGTATGTGTCATTGTTCCTGCACCCACCTAAGTATGTGTCCATCATTTTACTTTTTATCCAATCCCAGGGGTTCCCCCCCCCCTTCGCTTAATCCCACCTCCTTAAATCTGTCACCAATGAATTTCATGTATAAATACGGATGTAACCCTGCCATTCTCCGGAGCACTATCTCAATTCGTTGAGGTTCTGCTTCCCGGCATATGTCGACAGTTTGGCTCAAATAAACTCACAAAAATTCTTTACAGGTTTCAATGGTTTTTTTACGTTAACACCACAATGAAAATTTGGTGGGTTCAGTCGTGAGATATCAACATAAAACAATAGTAAATATAGAGGATATTTCCAAGTTAATTATTTTGTTCTATGTCCTTTAGACAACACCCAAGAATTACTCTATCATGACATGAACATTCAAATTTTTGAGCCTGAAACCAGATGTCTACAGATCTTCATAAGTAAAAGCCTTACTTATTTACTCTTTTGGGTCTAGTGTACTGGAATGTTAACTCCATAGGGCACAGTCACAGCCTGTTTTGTGTGCCTTTGTATTTTCAGCACACACTGGGGATACAATATTTTCCAAATGAACTTTTGTAGGAAGCATGCCTCTATGATTCATCTTCATAGAAAACAAAGAGCATGTGGCCAGGTGGTTACTGAATTTCCTCAGAGCAAACAGGATGTGGGGGTGGGGAGAGGGTGAGAGCTGTATACATGTGGCTGATAGCACATGTCCAAGGATGATTCCCCTAGAGACAAAGGGAGGTGGAGGCAACTAGAAAAGGCCCAAGCCTTTTTATTTTTTTAAGTAACCCAATGGGAGACAGCACGATCTAGGCAACCTATTAGAAAACAGGTGATCAAATAGTACTCAGCCAATGAGGTACCAGAGGAGGGACTAAATAAATAGGCTATGTTCCCTGCCTCACATGCGTTCCTGTACAATGGGTGCCCACTCATGAGGGTGTTATCAAAAGTCTCATTTTCACCATGCTTCTGTTTCCCAGTCCGTCATTTGAAATTCGGGCAGGTGAGCTATTTCTCACACTTTCAAGTCTCTAAGCATATTAGAGGTGTCACCTCAGAGCATACATAAATAACTATCTTTTACTCTCACTTAATGAATAATTCATTTTAATAATGCTCTCCTTGCGCTGCCTTTTCCCCAAACATATTCTTAATAATGCCCTTAATCACTATCCATATTTTAAGCTAATAAAAATAGTTTTATTCATTGATATGTCAGTCTCATCTTTTAGTCAATTCTATAATATGTCTCCTCTTTCCCTTCCTATATATAATACAAATTTAAAATTTACCATTATGCATTTCATGCTAACCTAAAAAAAAGGAAAAATTAACTTGCATGTATGGTAGATGAAATATTACCTTACCCCAATATGACATAGTAAGTGGCACAAAAACCTCTTTTATAATCCTGGGCTGCTTCCCTATTTTTTAAATCATCTTTCCATCAAACACCAGGGCTTGGCTGGCCCAGATTCAGTGCTGTTTCCAATAAGATTTTTGCTGCTCTAAGTATGAACTGAGGTCTGCTTAACTCACTTTCACTCTGATTCAATTTGGAAAGGGGAAGAACACAGGCTTCAAGGCTAAAGACAGAACTTAAAAATGTTCACCATTCAAAGATTGATTACTCTCATCACCTCCTAAGGTACCTGCCTCTTATCACTGTTCCACAAACACACTGCGCATTGTTTCTTGCCTGTTTGGCTCCTGTGTTTTCTTCTGCTTAGACTATCCTCCTCATTTAACATTCACTGTGAAAATCTAACTACCTTCCTGTGCCTTGCAAATTCTTTTCCCTCTAGGAAACCTTTCATGTTTTTTTTTTTACCAATTGAAATGTCTCCTTCCTTAGAATTCACATGGCGATTTGTGGTTTCCTAATTGAATTATTATAGCATATACTTGCATCAATACATTGCTAAAATTTTATCTCTCTTCCAACTTAAATAGAATATTTTTTTGCATGAAATTGCTTTCCTGGGAAACACCCCTTTTCCAGCCTGAGAAACCCACGGATCAATTGAAGGGAAGAAGGTCTGCAGAGGTTCACTAATACTAGAGAAACATTCTATCCCATACTGTTTACTCATCACTCTTTATTCAGAAATCCATGTGTCCACTCAAAGACACTGCTCATCACCCAGATATTTCTTCTTATGTAGCCCTTTACACATCCTTATATGACTCAGTTTCCCACCTCACCTTAACCTCTACCGCCAAACGTTCCTTCTCTAGGATCCTCTGGAATTCATAGACCATCATCATCAACATCCCCTAAGTACTACTGTGGCTTTCTGATTCCTCTCGCCCAGCATCTCTCTCCCATAGAAGACACTGCTTTCTACAGCTTCTCAAACAGTGGCTCACATATTTTACCTAATACAGAGCTTAGCAGTAGATAGATGGTATCTTTCTGTCTCTCGATTGCTTCTTCTAGAATATTACTCCATTCCCTTTGCCACTTCTACCAATTCCTCTGAAGCAAATGCCATCATCAGATTATATCACCCACTAAATTATCTTCTACAGCCTTCCACAGACCTCTTTAATGATCCCCTTTATCAATGGAATATTTTAGCATTTGGCTTATTGTTTTTTTTCTCCACTACAATATATTATTAATATCATATGTGGTCATGTAAAAACCCATGGGGACATTCTATTCACAGGAGCATGTGACAGGTGACCACTCCCTCTCTTAACACACTTGTTCTTTACATGATGAATGGGTTCTGCATTTTCCTAGTGAATTCTCAGTATCCTTTGATGGGTCTCTACCTGATCTCTAAGTGCTGAGTACCCAGGAAATAGTCTTTGGATTTTTCTATCTACACCCATTTTCTAGGTAATTTCATCCTGGCCAATGATTTCTCCAACTGCCTAGTTAAGAACTATGCTTGCATATTGAGAAAACCTCACCAACATATAATCTCCAAAAATGCACTCTTGATTCTGCCACCCTAGTCATGGGGGAGCAATGGGGACCTATTCAGAACAAAAACCTGTCATTCTTTTTTCTTTTATTTTCTCTAGTGTCTCACATAGAATCCATCAGCAAATTCTTTTGGCTATCATTTGACTCCCTTCTCACTATTTCCTCTGCCTACTATCATGTTTCAAGCCATTATCAAATCTTGCCTGGAAAGGAATGCATTAGTTGGTTTCTATTTGTGTCTGCTAACACTGCTACTAGTTTCCACTCCCAACCCTGTACACATGCAGATTAATCCCTTTATATTGGACTAGAACGCCATCGCATGATCCAAAATCGCGCAGGGCCGCCCACCCCTGAGCAGCCGGTCAGGACCTGCCTTGCTCCCCGGGCCCCGCAGCAGCCATGGCCGCTGCCAGTCCGGCCCTGCCTCCCTCTCTGGCCCTTGAAGCAGCTGTGGTCCTCCTGGTAATAGGGGAATAAAGGCAAACTATTCATGTGTAAAACTATAGGCAATCAGCTGGATTTGTTCAGGGAATTTTAATTTTAATGTGTGTATGTTAATGGCTATTTTTTAAAAATTGGTTTACTAAGAACTTCCAGAAAAAAATAAAAAAAACCTGAAATGGAGAATCTAAAATGTTATAGTTTCTAAACATTTTCCCCAGTGCAAGGTAATATTTATAAATTTATTTCTTAGTAATTAAACTACTGTGAGTTCATGTACTGCCAACCATTAAAAAATTTTTAAACATAGTTGATAATTAGGAAAAATGGAAAATTATCAACTTTAGTTTTAGACATTGTATTTTTTAAATTCTAAGTAATTTTTCCTGACATACCCAAGTTTTTTAAACTTTTAGTAAAGTACAAAAATTAGCAGTGTTATTTTACATTTATATAAGTAGCATTGTGAAATTTAAAAATTATTGCAGAAATATAATTTCAGAATTTATTACATTATTTCTTCTATTAGAAAATGACAATTAAAAATCTATGAAGAAAAAACATGCATTTTAATATCTTATTCAATGTAAAACATAAATATTGTAATTTTTTTTGGTAGTAAAAATAAAATGCAAAAACGTGCTTAGTATTTGCCTCCTAATTAATCTGTATTTAGTTTGGCTAATTAAACTAATATATCTCCAAGTTAAAGACTTTGTTTAAACCAGAATAAGTACTCAGTTAATGCATACATGGTTTTAGTTTATATGAAAAATTGGTTCTAATTTATTTGCAAAATTTAAGGTCTTTGCTTTTACTTTAGTTCTGTATCTTAATAAATTTGTTCATACCTTAACTTTGAGCACAGAATCAAACATCCTTGCATCTTCAGATACACCTCCAATGTAGAACTTTTTCTGAAACACTGGGGGATGATCATTTTCATCCTGAATCTCAATATATACCTTAGCTGTATTGCCTATAAGAAATAATACATTTTTATTAGTGGTTACTTATTAGAAAAAATGCACTGGAGTAAATACTTATTGTACTTTATTTTTTTATGACTCAATGGAAACAACTTAAATCAAAAAGTAATTCCTAAGTGACATGCCTGATACCACAAAATCCATAATGATGCTTCAGACATAATGTTTTATTGCTATTTCTTTTAATTAGTATGGTCTGATAATTCATTTTATTTGATTTAATAGACACTAAAGTATTGCATTCTGCTAATTTTATTGGAACAACTGACCTGTTCATGTTTACAAAGACTTCACACACATTATCGATTTCACAAAAGTGAACAAATATATAAATACCTTGTGAAATAATAGAAACTGCCATAAACAAAATATACATTTTTTATTCTTAAGTATAAAACTGGCAATGATATTACTCTAACTTACATTAAATAAATGTTTTTATTTTAGATTTAATGTAAGCAATGGTGCTTATTTCTGCAAAAGGAAAACAAGTTTTATCATGCATTAGAAGCTATCTAGCATTCACTGCAAAAGATGCAGTTGGAGAGATGACTGCCATATAACTCATAGATGATAGGTTTTGCAACGTAAGCAATAGTAAATATTTAATACATTTCATTATCAATATATTAGAATCTTACCCCCTCAATCATCACACCTTTATTATTATTTAAAAATATATATTTTTATTGATTTCAGAGAGGAAGGGAGAGGGAGAGAGATAGAAACATCAATGATGAGAGAGAATCATTGATCAGCTGCTGCCTGCATGCCCCCAACTGGGGATCAAGCTGGCAACCCCCGGCATGTGCCCTGACCGGAATCTAACCTTGACCTCCTGGTTCCTAGATCAACACTCAACCAACTGAGCCACGCTGGCTGGGCAATCATCACACCTTTAATGAGAAGTATAACACTTGTCACTATTTCAAGAATGACCCTTTGCAAACTAGGTATAACGAGGAATAAGTGGCTAATCATTCTGAAAAAAAAAAAAAAAAAAAATAGATTCAAATTACATATGTATTCGGATGTATTACTTAAGTGAACTTCTCTCATGCATTCCAATTAGGATCAAATATATGACAACTGATCTACAAGCTACTTATCATGGACACTCTAATATTGCTGCTTTGTACTATCCCTAATTATAACTAATTAACACCAATCTACTAGCACAGGGAGTGCATCACCAATGCACAATATATCTGTGTTGGTTGAGTAAATGAATGAGTAATCTGCATTATCTTAGTGAGAATTTAAAACAGGCTGCTTATTGCTTGCCCTGTGATCAGAGAGACAAGAGAGTTAGCCCCAAGGTTTTACCCCTATCCTGCTGCTACTCATTTACTTTCTCTCCTACTAGTCTCTTTCCCACCATTCCTGAACTGGGAGAGCTAGAATCAAGAGAAAAAAAAATGTGCTAGGTCAACAGAGAACAGGGCTAATGGCAGATTATGCTTCTCTATCCTACAGTGCCAGGGCTCGGAATTACACCCTGGTGAGCCACCAACAAACAGAGTTCATCTCTAGAATCAGAGGAGCTAACAGCTCTAAATTTAATATTTTTAAAGGAAAGTAATCTTAAACGATATCACCTTTCCGGTAGCTGTTTTCATGTTGTTAATAAATGACCACATTAGCTATGATCCCTTTTTGCAGTACTGAACAAGTAAAGGTTATTTTCAACTCACTGTAAAGGAAGAGATTTATGTTCTGTAGCTTGCCTACTTTTCTCCTGGCACTTTAGAAAATGATCCAAGAAGGTTAGGCCCCGGCATAAAAGTATTACACCATTAGGAACAATTTGTGCTTTGGAAATCTTTTAAAAAGCTATTATTTCCTTATGTATTGGGAAAACTAATGTAAGAATCAGTGTTGTAATTTATAGCAATACTTATAAGCTATATAAAATATTATATGTATACATTTTATAAACTCCAGAAGAATGCAGTAAAATATTTTAATATTATTTTAGCAGTTATTAAAAATCTCTAAAGTCATCAATTATAGAAACATCTAGATAAATATGTATTTACACTATAGCTATCCAATGAACCTGGGGGGGGGGCATTCTGCTAAGAGAAATAAGCCAGACAAAGACAAGCACTGTATGATCTTATTTATATGCAGAATGTTAAGAAGTAGAACGCCTAGAAACAGAGTAGAATGGTGGCTCTCAGATGCTGGGAGTATGGGAAATGAGGAGATGCTGGTCAAAGGTACAAACTTTCAGTTATAAGATGAATAAATTCTGAGAATCTAATGTATACCACGGTAACTATAGTTAATAATACTGCATTGTGTACTTGAAATCTGCTAAGAAAATAAATCTTAAATGTTCTACACACACACTGCAATCACCATGTGAATTGATAGACGTGTTAACTAATTTGATTGTGGTAATTGTATGTATGTGTGTGTGTGTGTGTGTGTATATTAAATCATCATATTGGACATCTTAAACATATACAATTTTGTCAAATTTACCATCTATAGCTAGGGATAATTTGGATGTTACTAATTGAAAATATAAAATAAATGTTGGCCAGCCAAAAAAAATTTAATATACCCCTAAAGTTTAATCACTAGAACACATTCACTTAGATATTCTATTCATTATTATACAATGTGCATGGCACTATAGATTTCCTTGGTTCAACCACTTTCACTAAGTGTGTGTAAGTACTAAGAACTTTTTCATGATCTTTCACTAAGTTTGAGCTTGAATTATTTCAGAGGCAAAAATTTGGAAGAAACTCTGATTGAAATTCCTTTAAGGCAGTGGTTGGCAAACTGCAGCTGGTGAGCCACATGCGGCTCTTTGGCCCCTTGAGTGTGGCTCTTCCACAAAATACCACGTGTGGGCGCTCATGTACAGTGCGATGGAAACTTTGTGGCCCATGCGAAGAAGTCAGTATTTTGTGGAAGAGCCACACTCAAGGGGCCAAAGAGCCGCATGTGGCTTGTGAGCCACAGTTTGCCGACCACTGCAAGGGAATCAACTTTTCTATCTCCTTGAGTATTTGCAGATTCTTTTTTGGCAATGTCATAGCCATTACTTTAGGCAGTTATGAAGCACACAACAGAAAAGAAAGATGAAAGGGGGGGAAGGAAAACGATGGTGATAAAATGTGTAAGAGAAAATTGTGGGCGGAACAACATAAGAGCCCGATGTCCTGACAGTCTCCCTTCCGGTTGGGTGAGACAATGCAAGCATCAGAAGGGAAACCACGGAGGGTAAAGAAGATTACACGCTGTGAGAAAGATTTATTCAGCAAGTATTTTGATTAAAAGACAAATGCATCTTTCTATGCATTTTGGGGCAATGTATCCCAGTTCCCTTCCTCTGTTGACATTCGTTTTCCTTAATTTTGTGAGATAACCTTTTCTTTGGGCAACACCAGTGAGCCAAGAAGTCCCAGAAGTAAACCTGAGGTGAGGGAATATAAAATACCTTCTTGGGATTTATTAGTTCAAAGAAAGAGAAAATAGAACTGCTGAGCTGTAAGCTCAGGAAAGGAAGTACCAGTCAGAATAGAAATCTTCTATTGATAGCCCTTCTGTCTTATTTTATCATTATTACTTTAAATTTATCTTTATTGTTGGAAGTATTATAGATGTCCCACCATTAATTCTCTCTACCCCCACACCACCCCAGGCCTTCACCACACTATTTAGACATCCTAAACAGGGTGCCCCGACACTTGAAAAGAGTAAGTGACATAAAAAATTGTATTAATTTAACTTGATTCTATGTTTTTCAAGACCAACTTTAGTTTTGATGTTTTTCTCTCCTTTGCTTTTAATAATTAATTCTTTGCTGTTAGTTTTCTCTTCCTACAAAAGCCCTATTACTCTAGATGAATCAGTTTCTTCTATTCACTTGACAAACCTACTGACTACATTGCATTAGCTTCTCAAAAAAGACTTTCTGAATAATAATCTAAGGAGTGGCTCTCAACCATGACTGATTTTGCCCAATCGGAGATATTTTTCATAGTAATAACTGCAGAGGGTGGGAAGGTGAGGAGAAGGGCTATTGCAATTTAGTAGGTAGAGGCCAGGAATGCTGAGAAACATCCCATAATGAACTAGACAAGCTCCAAAAAATTACCCAGCCTCAGACTATCAGTAATGATGAGGTCGAAAACCTTGAAAACCCCCAAGTTAATGTAAGAGAGAGATAGAGAGAGAGAAAGAGAGAGAGAGAGAGAGAGAGAGAGAGAGAGAGAGAGAGAAAGAGAGACATTGGAGAAATTAAGATCAAATGAAAAGATTGTGTAATATATACTAGTAATAACATTCTTTCCTGAGGCCATCTGCATGCACATGACTTCAATGTGAGAATCAATTAAAATTAGCTAAAATTATTTTATCCTATACTGGTTATCACAATTTGACTAAATTATTTAAAGCCAGAGGTTCAATTCTGTTTACTTCCACTCCTGTCACTGATTGCTGGCCTCTCCTCCGGACATTCCCTCCATCTGAATGTTTTGAACTTCAACTACATCTCTAATTATTATTAGCATATATACATCAAATATGTATTTGCTGTTGTACTTAGGAATACAGGAGCTTAGTCTGGTTATAACACATACACTAGACAAGATTATAAAACCTTGAATGTAAGGGCTATGCTTTTCTTATTGTTTTATATTCTTCTTTGCCTTATTGTTAAATAGATATTTTGAATTATAATTATGGTAAATGTTCTATACATTCTCCAATGATTCTACTGCAGAGAACTTTCAAAAAACTTGGTATACCAAACTTAAATTTGTTACTCTGCTGTCGTCAAGAGTTGATGTTAGTTCCTCATTAAATCACCCCCCCCCCCCCCCCCCC